ATATAGTTTAGCTATCGCATGAAAAATCAATAAACAATATAATATATTATAGCCTTGATGATTTAAAGGCTTAGGACACTCGTCCGGAAATGCAAGATATCCAGATTCGACTCTCAGCCGAGGCAATAAGAATTAATTATTTACAGATTTTAATATCACTCAGTATTATTAAGATCGTTCGAAGATACAAAAAAGCATCAAATTGTTAAAATTGCTAGTCAATTTAACTCTTGATGATTTAAAGGCTTAGGACACTCGTCCGAAAATGCAAGATGTCCAGATTCGACTCTCAGCCGAGGCAATAAGAATTAATTATTTACAGATTTTAATATCACTTAGTATTATTAAGATCGTTCGAAGATACAAAAAAGCATCAAATTGTTAAAATTGCTAGTCAATTTAACTCTGATTAACTGATATTACTGCGACAGTTTAGTAAAGTTGGATAGATCGTTTCAAGATCGATAAATCATTTCAGCGCGAGTTTCAAAAGACTACATACGTACAATAAATTTACATAGAATTATATAAACATTTAAGATCCAGCTAGACGTTTAAGGTATTGATTTCTATAGTTTGTATTAAAATCAATAAAATTAAGCTTATTCGACGCGTTTTTGCATGAAACAAAAGAAAAAAAGCGTCGCTCTGCTTCACGAATTAAGATATTAATTGTTAAGATTGACGACTATTTAAGAAATCTCACTCAACACAGAGCATTGCTAGGGCATTATGGGAATTACATAAAAAATTCTACAGTAATGTCCCGCAATTCCCTCCGCGATTTATCCATTGATGACCGAGAATGGTCGTCTTTCTACGATTGATGTCGATGTGAATAACTTATGTTTCAATATTTGACAAAATTCCAAAGTATAACGCGTTGCAGAACGTATTTGCAAAAGTTCGGGTTCTTTGATATTTCGTTTTCACAAAATATGACCCATACATACGTAATTAATTATAGGTGTATTAACATATGCCGAATTAATTGTGTAAAATTCAATTCGGTTAAAATTTTAGTCGATTCACTAGTGCAAAGTATTCTCATATTTTGTAGCAGTAAATTTTCTCATATTTAATTATTGCAATTTTTTCATTACTTTTTATTTAATTATCAATCCCATTAAAAAAAAGATTTATTTTGTTCTAGTCATGTTAAATAATCCTCGCGTTTTTCGGTTGCAAGTCAATCTCTCTCTCTCTCTCTCTCTCTCTCTCTCTCTCTCTCTCTCTCTCTCTCTCTCCCGCGCGCACGCATGCACGCATTTTTCACATCGGTAAGTATATTCTCTCTAGGACAATCTCGCCAAGAATTTTTTCAAAATGAATCACTGTCTCTTTCGTTCTCTGTTATAGATAAAGAACCTCCTCTCTCTTTATGTGACTCGGCCATCATATTTTCGTATATTTATATTTCTATGGCCCAGTTCTTCATTATCTGGTTAACTTGTAATTAAACTTAACCTAATGTTTTATTCAATGGGCTTCATCTATGATGATATCATGAATAAGCCTAACAAATTGACCAGGTAAGGAAAAATCGAGTTTAAATCTCAGCAAAAGATATGGGGTATCCTCTATCGTCCATGCACCTCCCATATATAATCTCAAAGATATATGTTATTCTCGTAATCTTTGTTGCATTTCTTAGCAGAAAATAGAACAAGAAGTAAATATATATAGTAATATAATACCGAATTCGGAATGGCATCTGCAGCAGGTTTATGAGCATGCAAGAAGGCACAACAGCATTAGTCAACTCAATGTTCTCATATTGCGCGACAGATTGGATACGACAAGTGCAGAAACAACTTGCATTAAACGGAGAAAGGCGATTTCTTTATTTCCTATAAGCATTCCTGCTATGTGACTCACGCCACTTCTGCGCTCACCAATTCAATCACGGGTCCATTTGTCGATACAAAGGAGAAATCATTATCTTCCTTTCTTTCTTTTTTACGCAGCAACAAGAGAAACATTCGTCGAGATGCTCTTAAGGCGAGGGGCCGCTTGCCTCATCTGCAGAGGCGTGAAACGACAAGAGCACTATATATTATATATCGCGAGAATGGAACGCCTGTATGCTACTTTCGTATATCAAATACGAAAGTTTCTCACGTGTATAACGCAAGCATGGGCTTAGATTTCTATCGACGAGAATCGGATATGAGACTCGCGATAACATATAACAACAAACATCTAAACGGGAAAAGTAGACCTTGTGATATATAAACGTATTATATAGTCCTGACAGATAAGAGTTATGGATTACTAATGGGAAACACGATAACGAAAGCATACACGAAAATTAGATGCCACTATCTATATATGAATTGTGGAATATATCAAAACCTATCGAGAAATGGCATTCTATAGGTATTTGATACTTATTTCATTTTACATTGCAACATTCAAAAATTTTTGTAACTCTATTAGTTAGAGTTATAAATGAACAAATAAAATAAAGAGATCAATAAAAAATTATTTATCGAGACGACGATAAAGAGTATTCGCTCTCGAATAATTATATAATCGTTTTTCCTGTTATTTTAATAATTTTTCCAGTATTATAACAGTAACAAACGATTGTAATAACAAATTATCATGCAGCTCTCTTTCATTTATTTGATTTTTCCGATAACTCCAAGAAATTTTAAGATTATTCAAATCAATTGGTTATTCACGCACGACATTGTCATCATGAAACAAAATATATTAGAAAAAATATCAAATTCAATAAATTTTAACATTATATCAAAAATAACATTCGTGCACAGAAATCTCAGGTACGTTGTATCCTTTTCACGAAAATATCACACATGTCATTTTTTATTTTCTGTTATTTTGATGCATACTCGTTAATTTAAAATATTACAGAAAAGGTCATCACGCCATCGTGAAATCGATAATTGATGAATCGCACATTCAAGCTGGTAAACATTACACATTACAATAAAAATAAATAAATAACACAGAAATAAGCCAGAAGAGCTTATTATTCAATCAAAGTGGATCTTGGTACTTGATAATATTTTTGGCGTAAAATACATATTTTCCAATTCATGCAAATTATCTACCAATTACACTACGAGCAATAAATTTGGATTAACTTTCTATTTCTCAATAAGAAACGGATATAGTGATTTCTATACTAAAAAAAAAAGTTTTCAAAAAATTCCATCACTCTTTAATTTTTAGTAATTTTGCTTTGAATTTCGTATGTAATAATGTAAATTTGTGTTATATATAATATATGTGTATGTAACATACGAAAGTCGTTTAAAAAGTTTTGAACCTCAATATGAAAATGGCATTACTCATCGAAATCCATTCTGTATTACAATCGTACATGTTGCAAGATACCTGTGAAAATTGTAGTCATTTTGGACGCTCAGTTGTTATTTGAAAGTCATTTATGCCAGTCGATGTCAGTGTGTTTCATTTGATGAAAACCTGTGTTCTCCGAGCCTAACTTTGAGCCTAGGAAACAGGAAAAAATCATTGGAGATCTGATAAATACAGTGAATGGTTTGATCGCAATTCGTAAATTTTTGTTATAGCGATCGTCGATATTCAATTTTCTCCATTTTTACAAAAACACTGATATCGATATAGCACAAATGATTATCAAACAACAACTGAGCATCCACAATGGCTACAATTTTCACAGATATCTTTCAAAGCACGTATGATTGTAGTAACAGAATGGTTTTGACGAGTAATGCCATCTTCATGTTGAAGCTCAAAACTCTTCAAACGATCCTCGTGTATTATAGCTGTAAATTACATTAATTTACAAGGTTCCTGTTTAGTTTCTTATTGTGTATTTTACTTATAAAGTTAAAGAAAGAAGTAAATAGTTTAAATTTGTAGTTTTTTTAAAAATAAATCTTCGGATTCTCAAAAATTGTGGCTGATGAAATCTAACTTTATGTTCTTTTTTAACAAGTAAAAACATATACATAATAATTATCATTGAAATGTTGAGAAAGTTGTAAAGTTTTAACACAATTTCGTTATCTTAAAATACAATCTAAATTAAAGATAAAATCGTAATATCACGAATTGATAGAAAATTGTAATAATAATATATTGCAAAGAATTTATATAGGTCAGAAATCATACAGGATATCAATAGTTTACGAGATATGTCTTATTCTAGCATATTAACATAAAATGTTAAATAACTTACAAATTATTAATTTTTTTGATAATCGTAGTAATACGTACGTACTTAATATTTTTATGAACAGAATAATGAAATGAATGAATTGGTTAGTTACTTTAAAAAAATATAATTTTTTTTTTAAATTGTTTTGCATATTTTTTTAAAGCTTTAAAAAATATATATGCAAAATGGATAATTTTTAAATAAGCAACTCTGTCTTTTCTTTCCACCAATTGATTCATCTCATTATTCTGTTTATAAAAATATTAAGGTACGATTATCAAAAAATTAATAGTTCACAAATTATTTAACATTTTATGTCAATATAAGCTACAATAAAGTGTAAAATATCTCTTAAACTATTAATTTTTTTTATATCATCTAATCATAATATTTTATTACTTAATATTTATTTATACTATCTTAATACTTTTATATGCAGAATAATTAGAGAAATCATATTATGTAAAAAAATATTATGTAAAATATTATGTAAAATTATATAATATATACATATTATGTAAAATTCAAATTATGTATAATTTCATTTAAAAAAACGAAATTGACCTTGAAATCTTCAAAACGCCTCCACTTGGACAAAAATTATTATCATCATACAATAGCCCCTGTGTAATTTTGGTTATATAAAATTTTCTCTACGCCTTATAAATTAGAAGATATTTCAAATGGTAATAATTATTGAGACATGTATACAAGATATATATGCAAAGAAGGAATAGTTTTAACAAGAGAAATAATATTAAAAATATCGCACAACTATCCCGATATAACATCGAACTTGATGTAAATTACAGTACGAAATACTCACTTTGTAAACTTGGCCATACGTTCCATTGCCGACGACTTCTATCAACTCAAAGATCCCAGCAGGTTCCTGAAACATAAATGACCAATTAATTCTCGAGATATAAAACGCTCCTTTTTATCATTAAAGAGAAATTGTCGATTTGATGAAAATTTCTCCTCCGATTACCGTCCACGAAAGAGCAAATGAAAACTTGCTCAACTCCTCGAAATAGAATGAATAAAAATAAAATAAAATCAAAGTAAAAAGGAAGAGACAAAAAGATTAGTGCAAGCGATGTGAGGAAAATAAAGAACGCATTTTGAGCTCTTAATCGAATGACAGAACCCACGGATCGATATTAAATAGGTATAAATAGAAAACGTTAGTGGGAGCAGATTCTGATTAGATTAGCCTTGTGTTTTGTGTTATCCTTTCTGCACTTAGAATGAAATTAATTAGAGGTCTGTTTTCTATGATTCATAACTATAGTAAATATGAATACTTTTGAAACTTAAAGTTAGATAGGTACATATGTTTGATATTTGGCGAAAGCGAGAAAGAGAGTTCTAATGTAATCTAGTGCAGAAATAAAAACTTAGATGTTAAAGGAAAAGTGCAGCCGTAAGGAGCAATTTTTTTATTCTCGCGTGAACTACGCTGTTTATTTTTTAATAACATGATTCGTGTGTCTCAAATAAAAATAGTTAATTCAATAATAAAATATGTTAATTCAATGGCCTCTCTCAAGATTCAAACTAAAAAGGACATTTATAAAAGGACAAATACAGTATTAAAACAATACGTATATTAATGTAACTTTAATGGTTAGCCAGCTTCAAGCCATCTTCAGCTAACTTGTGTAATTCTAGTTGATACACTCAGTCAAAGTACTGCAAAAAAAAATAGTTATTGAATATTGCTGAATGGACTTAGACATTCGTATGCATGCAAAAATCTGATATGAAACGAGACCTAACAAGTGCCTAACATAATAAAATTCAACAGCAAAATATATGATCAGCTATCTTAAAAGCTGACCGTGACAGTAGATAGCACAAATCTTTCGTCAAAAAAGACAATACAAGAAACGCAGCAAATCGCGAGCAGTAGAAGAAGGTATTTTAGTCATTTTAGTATAAACTTAAAGAAACTAATCAATACATTTTCAGTGTCAACTTTTTTTTTCTTTTTTCACTTGTTATTTTAGGTTGTTATTTTACAAGTCCTGTGCATTCTTAAAAATGACATTTCCGGATCGATTATCTCCCTTGTACTGTACCTACTTATTTGATTTTTTTTTTTCAGAAATGATGGGATGGAGAGACGTAAAAAGTCTGTGCTTGCAACGAGATTCAGAGTCAACGCGATACTACAAACGCTTTAAAGCATTTTTTAACGATTTATCAATTTGTAAAATTCTTTTTTCTAATTAGTCCATTAAACGTTTCAAAGCATTTGTAGCGAGACTTTAGCCACAGTCTAAGGCTGGTATTCATAGTCTATTCTTATATTCTTATATGTGAGGTTTTAAATACAGTCTTAAAATGTCATATGCCAATCAGAAGGCCGTGTTAGCAATTTAAGACATGATTTAAGATTTTAAAATAAGAACCGACTATGAATACCGACCTAAATCTCGTCGTCTGTCAATAATGTTGCCGAAGTGAAAATACGATCGGTAATGTTTTCGATCCATTTAGATTCTTTTCGCGTAAGAGCTTACAGTGGAAACCATTATTCGCGACTATCAATCGCCCGTATCGACAATAATACATTGTCATCAGTCTGGAAAGATTGATTGTCAACAATCTATAATATATAACGATAGTTATATTGATGTGTGAATCGAATCACTCGATTTTTTTCGATATTAGATGAAACATAACAAGGGAAAAAAATGAGAAGGATTCAAATGCAAGAAATGTCAGTTCTTCTCCTCCTCCTTTTTCTTCTCCTTCTCTTCTTCCTCCTTCTCGTCGTCGTCGGTTCTCGTGAGGTTAATCAGCGCGTGCGAGTGGACAAGATGATTAACCAGGTGGGTCCAGAGAAAAGGGCCACGCGTCGAAAGATAAGAAAAGAAAAAGAGAGATGCACGCAGCCAGCAGCGAATCATTTTTATATTTACAACATATACGTACCTTCAGAGCGTTCAGGTCAATGTCGTCGAGCGAACAATTGACGCTCGGTGCCAAATTATGCGCCATCTTGATATGCTTGCGTTACCTTCCGTTGGGTCTTTCGCTCGTTGGAGCTCACTCCGAGAACACTGTTTTAACGATTTCAACACTCGTCGTTTTTATGTTCCTTTTTCCTACGACTGTTTTATCTCCTTTCTCTTTCTCTCTTTTTCCTTTTAGGAGCCTTAGCTCCTTTCCCTACGGCTCGCTGCTTACAAGCCAGACGAACATACAAGGCGAGGAAAGAGCGAAAAAATAATGCAGTTTTACGCCGTTTATATCAGTACTATGGAGACACGAGGAGCATCGAGAGAAGTACCGAGAGCAGCGCTTAGCTCGAGGAAAGGAAAGGGAAGAGAGGAGGGAGGGATCCTGACCAAACTACGCGCGGCGGCTACGCGAACGCTTATCGAACCGCGGCTTTACGCGCGACGACGATCTTATAAGAGCGGCAATGGTGCAGCACATGGCGCGCACGAAACACTAGAAATCAAAAGAGTGAGCCTAACAGCCTGTCGAATCAAGGAGACCAAGAATACGCCGCGCCGGAGGAGGCCGTCTAGCGGTCAAACCGGACAGCGTCGCGCCTCCATCGCGTTTCGTTCTCCTTCCCTCCCTCCTGTCCTCCCTCACCCTCTCACGGCTTTTTTTTAATCGCACACGACACGAACGCGAAACGAAGGGTGCGCCGACTGCCGAGTTTGATATAGCGCGTTCTTTCTCAATTTTACGTGATAAGTACGCCAAAAAAGATGTCAAGCGTATAACGTCGCTGCTGGATCACTGATGATATTAGTACCGTCATATAAAAGATGCGAGAACTGAGGCCAAACATGAATCGAGTCAATCCCGTATATCACGTTCTACATCTTTTACGCTCATCAACAACTGCAACTATGCAAATCATGCAACTGCAATGTCGTGCACTGCCGTCAGTGCAGTCGCGGATCGCGCACGCTTTTTTCCTCTCTTTCAAATTTGCGTTGCCTCCGTCTATCCGTCTTTGCTATTCGCACCTCGCACTACCAGACGCGCCCGCTGACGTCAACCGCTGGATTAAAGCAACATGGCGACGGAAGATCGTGACCACATTTTAAGGTGCCTTTTCATGCGACGCTCAAATGCTTGTTTTTTTACGTCAAAAAATATCGAACCTAACCTTTGTAATCTGTAGCGAGCTTAGAGCATATAGACATGGAAGGAGCATTGCCTATACCTCCTATGCTCAAATGTGTGTCCAAGATGCGTGAGAGAGAGAAAGATTACATGGAACTGTCGCACTTTATGCGCATGTGCCAACGTTGCAGACACTATAGTTAGTAAAGTATGTTACGTTATAGTATAATTATTGAGTTTGCCAACAATATCACAGGTGACAATTACTGGATTCACACTGGATCCGACGTTCAATCAGAAAACAGGATTTAGCTTCATATCATCAATACGAAATAAAATTCTGCTTTCTGATTGGTCGTTCGAAGCAGTCGGATGCAGCATGTGTCTTAAGGCCATTCTACATTGCTCGTGTCGCAAGTCACAAACTTGTTACTTCAGCCAATTCGATGTATCAATTTTAAAATCGCATGATGATGATGACGCTTCCGACACAATGTCACACTGCTCGACACCGGCCTAGTTTCCACTGAGAGTTTAATTCGGATCAGAATTTAATCGGATAAGAACCAACTAACTACAGTCGAGTATTCCCTTGTTACAATTGAACAACAAGAGAGTGCTTGACTAGTTAGTCACAAAAAGCTATTATAAGTATGAGCGTGTAAAATATCAATGGTCAATGTTATTAACTTTTTAAAAAGTTATTTGAAGCCGTACTTATTTTGCAATAAAACTTTCAAAAATCGTCAATTCTGAAAAAATTATAATTTAAGTTGAAATAAAAATCATAAATCTATTATTGATATAATTATAAGAATAGAATGGTAGAGTCCCTAGAAGAAGAGAATCTGGACATTCGGAATTTCGCATGATTGGTGCACGTGACTTGTGCCCTGACAGCACCAATACGAATCTTGCTCGTTCAGTGTGAACGGGAAGAAAATTAGAATTAAAATACGTCATACTCGGAATTTATAGTACAATAGTATCACAGAAGTAATGATTGATGTATTTCCTAAAAAATTGAGAAATATATATCTTTGGAAATTTAATATACAGCAATCACAGAAAATTTGCACACTTTTTTTCGATGGGTTTCGGAATGCAACTTACTCACCAAGCGATTAATTCTTATTTTTGGATCCATGAATAAGAACAATCGTTCGATGAATAAGCTGCATTCCGAAACCCATCGAAAAAAAATGTTGCAACCTTTCTGTAACCGACGTATATATTATGCAATGTTTGTAATATACATTGACTGTGTCCTAAAATTCACTATCACTATTAAAAATGTATAATATACACGTGAACTAAAAAGCCTCGTCCATAATAGTCACACAAACTATATCGCATGTCGCAAGAGTGTCGCTAAATGAGCGTCTACAATAGTCACAACCGTTGTTTGCACGTAATTCGACAACAAATTCTGTCTGAACGTCAACTTGCTGTGCTATGATTGGCTGAACTTATGCATGTCGCAGGCTTAAGGTTTATTGTTTTTAATCAAACATTTCTTGCATCTCGATTCATCTTTTTTCTTCTTTTTTTCGCATTATATGAAAAAAGTTGAACCTTTCAAAAAATTCAACAAAAAAATAATCTTATTGTTTTTCAGCGTCAGCAATAAATTTTGAAATGCAATCAATGTGACATAATGCAATAAGAACGGAAGTTAATAAAGTTGTTAGCAAAGTTATTAATAAAGTTGTTGTTAGTAATGCAATAAGGACTATTTTTGATAAAGTTAGAGCACCCAGATACACGACAACTTGGCATTTTTTTACAAAAGTAATTACTTAATGTTATTTTTAAAATTTTTTATAATGAAATATATTTACAATATAATAAATTTTTTAATAAAATAAAATAAATAT